CAATACAACAACCTCGATTGCTGGAGATGAAAAAACGTTCAGGGGACAGTATTATTTCGCTTTCGCTTTCACAGCCACTGTGGAGCTTCCTCCGCTTGCAGAAATTGGGATTAGTGTAGGCGGCACAAACTCTTGCAGCACATAATACCCTCCCACTCCCCTTGATCGATTGGCCTGGAAAGGTCTTCAGTTATTTGTCACTTCTGTCTCAAAGCAACACCCGAAGACCACATTTGTGGGGTCACAGCGGTTGATAATGGAGTCGCTGATGATGGGTTGAATAAAAATGAAAAAATGAAGCGAAAAAACCGTCGATGAAGCTATTAACAAGTATTTCCTTCCCTTGGAATAAGGAAGGGCGGGGTCGAACGAGTTGTGCCTGCTCTACGGCTTAACTAACCCGTACCTACTTGAATTAGCGCCACGCCGTCCATTGTGTGTCATGGGGTGTGCGCGACGTAACTCGTCCATACGTTAAGATAGTCGCCAAAAATTCACTTAAGACCCTAGCGCCATTGTCGCGCACTTTCGAGCCGCGACAATGGCACATCTGTGACGCTCGTGGGGCTACTCTATCCCACCCACTAAATAGATTCTTCGATACGACTTCTGTTGGAGGTGTTGCTTAAGAAGAGCATAGCGTCCATCCTTATATGGAAGGCATGCGGCGCAACAGTATGCTAGTTCCAGTTTCGCTCTGGAAGTCCTTTGGGGCTACGCAGAAGTAGCGTCTTTACCCCTACGGCATGTCTTAAATTTGTACGTTGCATGGATTTTTAGGACGGCGCGAAGAAAGAAAACAAGTAACAGAGAAGCTTTTGTGAGCTATGAAATGGATGGCTAGGCCTAGCATGTGTAGGAAATCCAGGGAATCTGAGATTTGCTCATGTACGTTGGAGTTTCCATCTCCTTCTGAGGTTTAGTTTCGAACGATTCATGATGAAAGAAATGTTCGCTTGAAATTTGAATGCGTCCCCCCCCCTCTTCCCAACGATATGCCCGAAGACCGTTTCGGCATCGTTTTGGAAGGCAAAGTTCTTTTCACAGCACTTTAGCACTCCAATGATATCTGATGAAATGATAGCCTTATCAAGGCCATCAATAAAAACTGCATTGGCAGAAAAAAAGTTCTAACAAAATTTGGGAGGACGGATTCAATCGGAAAAAGAAATGGAAAAGTTAGAACCATTTGGTTGAAGGGCGGAAGTGGTGTAGTGGCAAGTGGCACGCTTACCACGCGAGCGGTCCGGGGATCAAATCCTGGGTCGTGAGTCGCCCGGGCCAACCAAGCCTTCCATCCCTCCGGGGTCGGTTAATTGGTACCAGACTTGTCTGGGAGGATAAAAACACTGACTTGTACATCGGCTGGCCCCCGCAAGTCATTGTATAGGCCACATCGCATTCAAACGCCACTACGAATGTACAAATGGAAGTAGAATGCGTGCCGCATCCCAAAAAGGGATTGATCAACGGCAAATGCTTTATCCTTTATTATTACCAACAATTCGAAAAATTCGGAGATGCATTTTTGAATTTTTCCGAGTTGAAAATTCCAGCTATTTTCATAAGTCATATGTCTTAACAGTAACAGAACCAGATCAAAGTCTGCTAGTGATAAGACTGTTGTACAAATCAAGAAGGTAACCCGGACCTTTGAGGAATTTCCTGGATCTCCTTTTGTGAACGAACGTTTCCCAGAAGAAGGAGACCTTCTCATGTGTTTCACGCAGAGCGTCACTGATGCCATCCATCCAATATTGTTCTACAAAAGCAGTAGTGCTCGATGGCTACGGCCACTACTGAACTCGACTTTTCAATTTCACAAATGCGTACTGAAACGAAAAACTTTTGCAATACGTTTTTTTTTGCAACTCTGCAAAAAAGTTTTTGGTTTTTCGTATTGAATATTTCGGAATCTCACACTATTTATTACATAAATACTGAGTGTCTTCTCAGGTTACACTCTTGGCTTTCGCGCTTCTGGTCACTATTTTGGAAATGGAGGTACATAGAGACCATTTCTTTTTGATTCTATAAGTTGGTCCATTATTTCTGAGACACCCTGGCTATTATCCGAGCTTTTAGTCAATTTTCTGACGTGTTGTTCAACATAATATTCATCACTTTCATCTAAAACTCACCACCCGTGCACGAACACCAGTTCAATTTCATTTTAATGCCATAGATTTCTGATCGAAGAAAGATTCAGTGTTATTTTCTAGACATGTTGGTTAGCGTACGGTTTCTACCCGAAGGAGAAGCTGGAGAGCGGAATACACATTACCCTCCGGCCATAGGTCAGGGCTATGGGCTCGAAGCGGAAGAACTCCCTGACAGTCTTCACATTTTCAGCAATTCTTTCTGCCGTCTGCGGTCAAACGCTCTCAGAAAGGGAAGATAGGCATTGTTCTGTTTTCCCATTATTCTGAAATCGTAGGATCAAGTTGTTCACTGTTAACATCCGCATTGACAACGGCATCCGCTTAGGAGCTCCAAGCTTCTCTAGTGTTTTAACAACATTCGGAAGGGCTTGACCGGACGAGGATGAGTGTTGGCGTCGGGACTCCTATACCTTTGGGGCTGGACTACTGCCCCTTCTAGGTTGGTAAGCACACGCTACCCACTTCTCATAATTGGTAATCATGTTAAATAGTAGTGAATGAGTAAAAGGAAGCGGGAACATCGGTAGCTTTGGCGGTTTGCTCGCTCAACGCATGTGGTATCACAGCTCAACTTCTCACATCTCTCAGGTTTTGTGCAGATGTTAGTAGCTTGTCATCTTGAGGCATCAGAACTGGCCTGCCAGACGACGGCCAACCTAATCTTTTTCATCAGTATCACGTAGAGCCTGTATGCTGAAAGTTACGAAGTTTGCGATGTGGGCCTTCTTTCGCTGAAAAGGCTATTCCTAATAAATTGTATGTAGCAGCGGCGCGCTGCGCTTCGAGAGGGCGCTCGCCACTCTTATGTTGCGTTTAGACCTTTGCTTAGGTTAGCGTAGCCTTCGGGAGGTCCTAATAGGTAAACTTAAAAAAGGCATGAATCCCAGAAAAATCGAAGTCTTACACGAAAGGCAGCATCGCCATGAGCAATCTTTTTGGACCACCGTGCCACATGTCCTGTTGGGGAGTAGTAGCGCGCATCGCTACTAAAAATTTAAAACATTGAAAGGTGGGAAAGGTAGAGTTCCCAATTTAGCGGTGGTCCTTTCGGCGGGCCCGTAAGTGCCCGACCGAACAATTCGGTGGCTCGTCGCCGGGCCACGCACCTTGCCGTCAAAAGTTATATAATGCGCGCCACACCATATTCATGGCATCCAGGGCATGTTCGAATAGCTCAGTTTTGACCTCCTCAAAAGTAATTTCTTCCTTCACTGCCTCCAATCTGTACTCGGTATCTTTGCCATGGTGAGAATCTTTCCAGACGTATCGCGGCCTTCAGTGCTGGCATCAGTACAGCACCAACAGGACGTTGGTAGATTTGCTCTGGAAAATGGAGATCTGTCCATTTCAATCGATTGACTTCCCGGTGGTCACAACCGAGCGTGAGTTTGCCATCATTATAAGCAATGTTACAATATTCAATTCTCGAAGTACCGGTCCATTTCAATACAAGGGGAGGGAGGGTTAGTTTTTGGGGGTTATTCTTTCTGAATAAAGAAGGAATTCTGTAGTGGTTGAACGCGATCCACTTCGAGAAAAAATCACTAAATCTTTCTAAGCATCAGTTGTGGAAAGAAATATTGACGAAGTTATTACGGCGTTGAACCAAATTTGTCTCATCACCTCAGTAACATATGTAGATCAAAAAGTTCCTTTACACTGACAAAAAATCTTCAATAAGAACGAACAAAAAACATAACGATCTTCAATCGGGAGAAATACCATTAATTTCTACAACTTTCTGTTATTGATATGCAAACTACAAAACTGACAAGTCAGATCCCACCGTCGCGACTGGCCGTGTCAAAAAATTACGAACCCTGTTCCCCCCCCCGCTCCCTCCCCTTAACCCTTTGACACATGAGAAGTATGTAGCTCAACATTTAGTTCACTACAACCACCGCCAACTTAAAAAAAAATTCTGAAATCTTTCCTAAAAACCGGGTGAGGCGAACATATCCAGGAACGGGGTAGAAAGAGTCATTCCACGTCAAAGGAAAGTTATTACACTTTCTCAAATTCTGGCCGAAAAACGGAGAGCGCATTCTAGTCTGTTGAAAAATTCACAATAGCCTCCCACTCCTACGAAATCAGAAGATTTTTCTTCGGGAACATGACACAGTAGGAGCTCAACGAGGTCGTGAACAATTACGACGTTATGCGAAACGTTGGTGCAAAACGGTGCTGCATCAGGGCTACTGTCTCGAGAAGCAGTCCACCACTCAGGCGGTTGAAAAAAGCTGCAGCTCCAGGCTGGAGCTAACTGATGACCTGTTAAACTCGACGATGGTGACCTCATATACTGAAGACGTTGAGGGCAGTGAAGGAGGGCCTGATTCTGCTTATGGGTGAACATCAAAGGAAAACTTTGCCGTACAAATTCTATCAACTGCGACACCTTGCGTGATGAAAAGTTGGTGATGTGCGCCATAAACGAAGTGACTCTTTTTTCATGGCTGCGCATTTATGCTTCATATTCCTCCCAGAAAATAGTCTAAAGAAGGCAGATTTGAGCTCAGGGTCTCAAAATGCCTATAGAAATGTACAGTACATTCCACTTGGCCGGGTTGACGTAGTAATCTTTCCTGGGAAGCGCAGAAAGTCGCGGCAGCCGCTACTGTATGGTTTACCGTATGACCGCGCCGGGTAGGTCTAAGGCTGACCACCAACTGTGTGGTCCGCCTGGACCCTCCTTGACCTACATACACACTCGTACCTAATCTACCATTTGAGCGGGAGTCCCCCTCTATAAATAGCCCCCCAGACAGTACTAGTTACTTCTCTTCTAATAATTCTGCCGCTGCATACTACTATACTCTCGTCTGTACGGGAGCCTCGTTGTGTATTCGCTGCTGTTATGAAGTTCGTTCTCCTCGTCTCCTCTCTACACTCCAAGGAAACCGTTTAGGACCCGCTTCCCCTATAAGTCAGGAGTTATTAGGAATTCCCGACTTGACCCTGCCGGTTCCGAGGTTACTCGTTGAGTCCGGGCTCGCGAAGAAGGGAAGCCGTCCGCTACTCAGAATCACCAATTTTAAGCGTGTAACTGTTCATATCTGGAAGAGCAGACAATAAGGTAGGTTCCTCAAATGCTGAATTTGGTTTGAAAAATGTGAACCATGTGAAACGACATACCCACGGAAGCGCAAAAATTTACCGAGGGGAACCCGAGTTCACTGGTCTTGGCGGTCTGCGTTTGATCAAACGAAATGAAGCACGCTCACGTGAAATAGCCCCTCCAGAAACAAATTTGACCAGTCCGTTCAATCAATCTGAAATTAATTTGATACTATTTTCAGAAATCTGCGAAGAGTGCAAATGTGCGTGTGGTGTGCAGCAGTGCGCCTCTGGGGCGGAGCCTGTGCGGGTCATCCACAAAAGGCGGCAGGGCAAGTGCGGCTGCGACTGTAGATGCTCATATCGATGTGTTACCTTTTGATTATGTTCATGTATATAATATTTTTTCAAGGAAACACTTTCCAACTTTGACTGCAGGCAAAATTGGTGTATTTACCTAAAAATTGATTGCTCTATCAGGTGTCGCTTTTAGGTTTCAGCTGACCTTCAGAAAGGGAGCGAGAGAGGAAGGCATTGGGGGCTGTAGCTAGGTAATGGTAGCACGAGCTCGGAGTGCTCTTTTAAAGCCACGAGTCAGGATTAGGTGACCATAGAAGGCCTTTCCATCACTAATATTTCCAGGAATGCGCTCAGAGGGGTGATGCCACACTCCTGACTCGAGATTGCGCGCCGTCAAGGCCTCTGGCCTACTACTTACAGCGATGGGTTCGTTTCATCAGCTGGTCCCGCCCACCGCGGGATGTGGTGCGTGGCTGGCCTAACGTGTGAGATCAGCTAGGTTGATTGCCGTATCAACCGATGGAACGGCTGGCATATCCGGAAAACTCGTTTGGACGTGGCTCTCCCCCGAGCAAGCCTCCTTCACTGCTAGAAGGAAGGGGTTTCGATTTCGGTCTTGTCGACGGTTTCTTTGCGTTTTTTCTTCACTGTCGTTCCACCTCCCATCTCTACACTCAATTTCAGGCGCCATAATGCCCAAACACGAGCCTGACTTTTGCCTTTAAGTGAGAAGTATGGAGCGATCATGAACACCTTTTTGTCGCGCAGACTTCTACGAAGTTATTAC